TCCATTATAGGCTCACAGAATAAGAAAGAGGGAGGGTGTATGACTAAAATCCTCCACTGGGAAAGGACCCTTGCATAGGAACAGAAGAAGAGAAGGTCAAGGTGCTCAGAGAAGAAAGGCAGCAGGAGATTAAAGCACCCATGAGCTCAAGGAAGGGTTCGGCATTCTGCTGAGATTAAAAAAAGTGGGCAAGGGGGGTGGAGGTCCAGGTAAACACGGTCCATGTCCTTAGTCTCTAACATCTTGGATACTCTTTCTAAGGCTAAACGAAGCCCCACTCTCTCTGAGTAGAGAAAATTAAATTTGAATACAGAGAATGCAATGGAATAAAGATGATTCTGCTCGAGTGCGTTGACCTTTATCAACCATTTCATCAGAATTTCTGGAGCATGAATATGCGTTAGGTGTCCTCTGCAACTGTTCACATGAGGAAGGATCCTTCTCTTCTGCATCAGGTCCAAGGAATCCTCAAGCATCCCGAGATGGGGAAAGCAAAATCAAATCCATGAAGTTCTGAAATCTAGTTAGAGAATAGTTGTAGGAGACAACGAAAATAGCAGTCAAGCAGCATAAATCTCCAGAGTATACTGTTTTTCCTCCTGTGACTGACTGAAAAAACAATTACATTTCTCAATATTCCTCCAGCTGAGACTTGGATTCAGTGCTAGATAACATATAAATTGCTGGTTTGAGGCTCTTCTTTCAGGTGGACTAGATAGTCAGGAAAGAATGGTTAGGCACACATATGCAGATCCATGCTTATATGAAAAGCTTTTAAAAACAGAGTATCAGGATTTTCAACTTTCACTATTTAAGAAAAAATATTTTATTTGCAAGAAATAGAAATACAAAAGCATAACAATTTCATTTTTTTCCAAACTAAATACAAGTATCCTACAAAGCATTTACTTTTTTTAGTATTTACTTAGCTATGATAAAGCATAAAAAGCCATAAAAAACAGCATGATATGACAGATAATAGACTCACAATGTATTCAGACTTAAACACTGCTGGTCTGTATAACGTGTAACCAAAGACAGCAAAGCCCAGCCTGTCAGCAGAGACATTAAAGCTCATGGTTTCTTATAGTCCGGAGTCTGCTCAGCATTGTTTAAAAAGGGTGGCTCACAATTTGTCAAAGAGAGCTGGTGTTTTTCATAGACTCAGACAGTGTTTCATCTGAAAGGGAGATTTGCTGAACAGCATAGGCCATGGGTCCACGGTGCAAAAAGTTCATTGTTCTCAGCCAGCTAGTGAGTAAGGAAGAGGAACAGAGAAACAGCTAAAACCGCTCGTGGTGCTTTTCCAGGATGCAAAGGCTGCTAGCTGGAGCTCACAGACGACTGGATGAACCGGACAGGAGATGAACATCTCCAGCATGAGGCAAAAACCTGAACTTTGCACAGCAGGGCCAGCCTAGGGAGTAGGCACTGCATTCCCTGCCCAGAGGACCTTAGAAGTTTACAGCGTGTTCGCGCAGAAAGAGATCTGCTCAACCTGACCCACAAATTTCTGCACTTTCCATATCACTTAGCTGTTTATCCATCTCATAGTAATTAGTTGCCCTTGTTTTCTCTTTCTATAAAATTAACTTATTTAGCACAGCACCCAGCACCTAGTAGGTGCTCGAGAATTATTTTTTCTCTTCCTTCTAGAAACCAAGACAAAATAAAGCATTCCCAGATTTTATGCTGCCCAAAAGGACAAAACGAAACAATACCTAGTCTTGTCCTGTGGTAGGTGCTGACCCTTTGTCCACGGAGACGTGGAGCCTTAATCCTCAAATGCCTCAGGTTCCTCTGAGCTGAGAAAATGTTCTGCTCTGAGGATTTATAATACCTTTAATCCCGGCTGGCCATTTTTTGATGTGATTGCACCTCTGCAAGATGGGATTTTCCTAATGGACATAACTCTGTTCCTTTCCTCCTGATGTGCAAATCTGATCATGGCTCACTTTTAGGAAACCATTTTTGAGCCTTTGGAAAAAGTTCCTTTTCCCATGTCCACCTCAGTCTAGTACCACAAAGCTGTATATAAAATCTCCCAGCCCCTAGGTAGTTCTCAGTCATCCTGGATTCAAATATAAGGCACATGTAAGACACAAATGAGTGTCCAAGATGAGGGAGGAACGTGTGTGCGAGTGTGCGAGTGTGCATGTGTGCGCGTGCCTGCGCAAGAGGAAGAGGAAGAGGGAGAGGGAGAGGGAGAGGGAGAGAGGGAGAGAGAGATAGAGAGAGAGAGAGAGAGAGAGAGAGAGAGAGAGCGAGCTGGCACATGGGTCTTTTGAAGAGCTATTGATTAATGAAGCTTCCTCAGCCCCCTTATTCCCCAATATTCACTAGGTCCTTCTGCAACACTCTTCCTTGGGAGTGAATGACTGACTCAATAAATGAATGAATGAATGAAAAATCTGAACTCTGTCTCTTGCTGCTTCACAGCCCCCTACTCTCTCCTGTAGCTGCCCTCCCAAAGGGGCTTATGCGATCACGTCTCCTAATTGTCTCAGCTAAAAAGCATTCAAAGAAAATGACTCCGACCAGGGCACTACCTGCTACTGGTCTGTCTCACAGGTCCTGCCTGCACTGCAGGCAGGAGAGCTGGTGTCTGTAATAAAGGTTCCTCAAAGACTGGATTCAACAGAACCGAATTAGTGACAAGAGCTCTTGGCAGAGAAGGGGGAGACCAATGCCTTCTCCTCCGTCTCCCATCTCCCTACGTTAGCAAGGCCGGCACGGATGCTCTGTCTCCTCGACAGGGAGAGGGAGGTCTCTGAGTGTGCAACGTGCTCATGTGACACGTGTGTTCGGAGGAGCTGCCCCTGAAGGGCCTCTGCTCCTTGTCTTTTGCTTGGTGTGAGGACATAGGAGGAAGGAGGCACAAAGTGCTAAAAAATTTTAATAAAACACCTCTGTCAAAAATTCTGGACAGTGACTCACTGCCAGAATAAAGGTGAACCAATGCAGGACCCCTGCTCCAAGGGCACACGAGAGTCACAGCCCTCTCTCGGCATTCAGGCTAAACCGAGAGATTTAGGAAGAAAAAAAACATGGTACTTATAGTTGGTTTGTAAATAAGTGAGCTAAAAGCTGCTTTCACAATCTACAAATTAGGTCTTTAAATCAAAATCATTTATATTCATAAAAAGGTTATCTAATTCTGCCTGTACTGGTGTCAAACCTCATCCCCACCCCCTGCCCAAAAGGAGCAACCTAGTTCAGCTGTCAGATTCTTATATAACACTCCCTTTATGTGAGCTAGGTTCCAGAGTCCTAACACTTCACAGAAATTCTTTCTTAAACCTGGTACTGAGGCCTTTCATTTACAGTATCCATTTCTAAGTGCAAAGTCAAGAGCTGTGAATAGAACCTCACTGGGGGGTCTGGGTTACTCAGGTCTCACCCAGTAAAAAAGTACGTGTTCTCTGAACTTTTGCAAGACATCTCCTCCACTAAGCTAATCAAAGAAAGGAAAGAGGAAAAGCTGTTGACATAATGAAAAATATATTAATATGTTTATCATTAACATTGATTCTTTATGATTGATGGTTGTGCTAACAGTCTCTTACTTTCCAAAACTGAGGTTCAGAAACCAAAAGGCTGCCACTATTTGACACCTTCAGGGCTAACCAGGTATTACTGACTCATCTATGGGATGGCTCTGGGGAGGGAAACAAATCCACTGACATTGTGGGCTTAACCCTGGAACAGAAAAGGTGCACACGCCCATTAACTATTTGGAACCAATCTGGTATTATCCAACTCTTCTGCATCCTCTTGACTCCATTACGGCCTCCTAAAGGGATAACTGTTTAGTTCCCCTTACTCACCCAAGCAAGGAGTAGAGGGCAGAGGTCTTTCTCATAATAGCAGCAATTGGTCCTTGGATCCCCTTACGATGGCCATTTGAGCTCTCACGTTGATGTCCCTGGTCTCTAGACACAGATTCAGTTGTGGGAAGAACGGTTTCCCAGAGATCAAGCCCTGCTGTATGGAGGGCTGGAGACAGTGACGTCAAGGAAGGGTAGGTCAGGGAGGAAATGAAATCCTCAAGGCACTAAAGACAGGCGCTCGGAGTTTGCTGCCCTTTTCCTTCTCCCTCCTTATTCAGAAGAGCTGGTTTTCTACTCAGCCTAATCCAGGAGACTTAAAAACCCGATCTGGTTCCAGTGCGTCAGGTGGGTAAGCTGACCCATTCCCACTGACATACAAAAGCTTGCCTTTCTTATCGTCCAAATACTACTTGAGTTAATTCTATATTCGTACCTTCTTAGCCGCCCTCTCCCTCCCCACGCACACAGGCTGCCTGTGTCTGATAATTACAAGACATTTTAAAGAGAGGGATGGTTCCATAGTGGCCCATGGTTAGCAGACACCAGCCAGGCCCAAGAGGGTCTAGAGCAGAAGAGAAGGAGAGGAGAAGGTAGAGAGAAACAGAAGCGGGGCGCATGCTAGCAACCTTCCTCCTGCACAGCCCAGCCGGTCTCAGCCCTCCCCGGCCAATGGAAGGGACAGTGAGAGGCGTGCAGAGGACCGAGAGGGCTGCCAGGACCACTGCAATCCTGATCCAGCTTTACATCAGTGCTAAGAAGATGACTTTGGCTGTCTCCCAGCCAGAACTCTCTCCATCACAGTAGGGAGAGAGGAATCACTGACGGCGAGCCCCAGAGGTACCAGATCTGCTTATGAGGTCTGACGGCAAATGCTAATGACACCAAATCCTGTGTCTGCTGTGGAACAGAAGGCCCAGGTATAGCTTAATCTCTCCTAAGTACAGGTTCCAATGACAATGTAGATGAGAGACAGAAACGGAGACAGAGTGAGAGTTAAAGCTAAGGGTGCTTCAGCTGCTACTAAAAATAAAATACAAAACGTGAGCAAACTTCTTACACGAAATCTTTTACAAGCTAGGGAAAAACATTTAAGGGGGGTCTTCTACATTATACAGTAAAAAGTCAATTTCCATTTCTTATTTGTATGAAAGAGGAAAGTTTTTTTTAAAACTACAAAAGTTACTTTTAATCATTAAAAAAAATAAGAGTAGGTTGGGGGATTAGGTCGTGTCTCTTTGGGTGAGCTGCAAAGTAGCCAAACCTGACTATAAAGGGTAAGACTGTGGATACACAAATGTCACCTACTCTGACCCCAGGAACAGGCCTCAGGCTCACCTCCTGTGTTGAGGCAGAAGAGAAGGGGGAAAGCAGAAGTGTCAGGGGAGGTGGAGAAAGACAAGCTAGCAGGGTTGTCTGAAATGCCTGCTGTCAGGGACAGGGCTTCCCTTCCCTGTTATGGGTATGGGACAGAAAAAGCATCTATCCACAGAGCCCCAGACCTGAGCGAGGCACTGCTCCATCTTTCCCTGTGAGTTCATTCTACAGGAGGACACATGCTTAGGGAGATTTCCCAACTATAATTATAGGGCTCCAGCAAAAAAAGAAGAAAAGAAAGCAAGACATGGCCTGGAAGGATTGGGGATCCCAGAGCCTAGGGTGCCCTCCTCGCTCCAAAGGCCAACAGAAGACTTTTCTAGCTTGGAGGGAGGCGTCCGGATGTCTTCAGTGTGGTTGCCCAGGGAAGCCTCAGCGAGCTAATAAATACTATTTACAAATGGGGAGGAGAAGCCAAGGAGGCAGAACTAGGGGCGTGTGGGGACACAGATGGTGGAGAAATCCTACAAGCAACATGATGGGGCAGGTTTGCCTGGAGTAGAAAAGCCTGATTCCTTCAGGCATTGCACTTGCGGCCTGAGAGTACGAAGGGGACGCCTCGCTCCAGCTCCAGGGCCGGAGGACGAGTCAGCGGGGGCTCAGCGCAGAGCGGCAGGAGAGACCCAGGCTGAGCATAGGCAGGACGTCAGTCGGTGCTTTGCCAGATTCCAACAGGCATCCTGGTATTTTTGTGGCTCGAGTTGAATGAACAAGCGTCAGCTCTTCTTCAAAGAGGCGGTCACACCCACCCCGGTGAGAAGCAGGCAGTATCTTTTTGGCACTGTCGGTAGAAACAAGCCTGCTCGCCCCACCCCTGACCCTAAGATAATTTCCTATGGCAGTAAGCAACAGGGAGGGAGAGAAGCGGGCTCCCTTCTGCAGGGAGGGACGTGGGACCGGGGGAGGCGTTCTCTCACCGTGGGTGGAAATCCCAGGCTGTCCTCGTATCCAGAGCCATGACTGCACGTCCAGGTCTTTGGTCAAGATCAGGTGGCAAAAAGGAAAAGCTTATGACAAAGGAGGTTTGGAGACATAAAGGTAGAGTGAGGAGATAGAGGGAGGTGGCGACGGTCTCTTTAAAAGGTGGCGTTCACTCTTCTGTCGAGTTCTACAACTTTTAGTGTTTCATTCCCCTCCAGTTTGGTGCTGACCCTGCGAAGGCATCAGAAGGAAAAAGAGGTCTTACTACCAATTACCTCATGCTCGGTAGGATGACACAATCATTCCATGACTGCGACTCTGCAGGCTGGCCCAAGCATGCTTCTCGTCCTCTCCCCTGTTCCTGAAGTCTCCCGCTACCAGCCTATCCGTCATCCGCATTCCTGCCTCTAGCCTCATGCCAAAGGAGACATTCCAGCCCAGAGGATAAACATGGCAGTTTGATACTGATTTGTTGTACATTGCTTTAAACGATTGTATTTCTTGAGGATGGTTAGTCACCCCTATGCTAAACTCTGGGAGGGAGAAAATAAAAGGATAAAGACTGATCCTTGGTCTAGAATAAATATTTTTTTTAAAAATCTAGATAAAGATGAAATCTTTATAAAGATTAAAAGATTCTAGATAAAGACTAAAAAAAAAACCCACCCAAACTAACTTGAAATAACAGTAAATATATAACAGAAAATAAATACATTATTAAATTATGTAACAGCCTAGAAAGACTCTAGGCATTCAGAGGAGGGCTATGAGGGCTCTGGTATCAGGAAGGCATCCCAGAACAAGAGGGATTTCAATGGGGCCTTGAATAGCTGAGACAAGAGGAGAGAAGATTTGTGTCATGAGTCAAGTATTCTTCTCTACTCCTAGTGGCAGCTCTACAATTTGCTAAAATAGGAATAATAATAATAATAATGTCTAACCTCTTCAAGTATTTCAAAGGATTTACTGTATATGTCATATTTACATAGTGCTTGAATAGTAAGCGCTATAAATAATAATAATAAATAATAAAGCACTAAATGCATGTATAATATAATGTAAACATATAATAGTATATATAATTACAAACTTTCCCCTGCAACATTAGGGGAAGAAAACTGAAGAATCTGAAACAAAGTCTTTCCCACTTGCACTAGAATAGCATCATTTCTGGGAGGCACAGAGGCAGAGTTCAGCTAGACCACGAACCACACCATGTATAACCAGGATTGGACGCAGACGCTCCTTCCCGTGCCATTTGGTGTACCCAGGTATCTCCCCAGCGTGACAACAAAGCCCAGCAGTTGTACAAGCCTTTGTGTTTACACAAGGACTGTTCCTCATAACTATCTAAAGGAAACACCTCATGGAGAATTGGAGACAAATGTATGTTATTTTCAATATGGAAACACATACAGGCATAGTGCCTCTCGAAGTGTCCTTCAATATTAATATGTAATTATAACTATATAATTAAGGCATGTTTATTTACATATAAATCATAAAACTACATACTGACATATAGCATGACATATATGTATCTCTAGTTGGAAGGAAGCTGGGGGATGTCTTGAGGCTGCATTTGCATAGCGAGTACACTGCTGTTACTGGACTGTATGTTTACTTGTGAGGCTTTGAGGGAGGAAGGGAGTCAAGCCCTTTCACCCGACTCTTGGAGCCACCACTGCCAGCTCCCCAGAGGCGCAGCAGCCACAGGGCCAGCTCACACCAGGTCTCTTCCCCAATCTCTGCTAGGGGCAGCTGTTCACAACCAATAGTCTCTCCAGAGTCCGGGTGCTGGAAATAGGTCTTGAAAAAGCCGAAGGTACGACTAGGCCAGTGGGAAAGTCTACACCCCACACTACACGTTGCTGACGCATAACCCATCGTCGGTGCCTTAGAGGAGGTGAATCTGTATCTATTTGACTCACAAGTGCTGCTGCAGCTCCAACAGCACTGATTTCTCCAGGCTGGTCTCATTTGATATAATGAAACGGGGAAGATCCACGTCAGGCCTGGACTCCAGCCCTGATGCCCTGAGCAGGGAGGAACCTCTGTCCCAGCGCCCAAGCTCCCCAGCCGAGGCGGAGCTGGACGGCTCCTCCAGGGGAGAATGTTCCTCATAGATCAGCAGGTTCCTGGATCTCACTGAGAACAAAGCAAAGTAACAGGTGTTACGAGAGACCATAAGGGTACATCACATCCCCTCACTCGATGCCCAGGGCTGGGAGCAGATGACAACTCATGGGTTCTTGTTGCCCAGGACACAGGGTGCCAACTGGAGTTGGCTTCCTATAAAGGCTTCAGGATTTCAGAGTTTTGTGCATTGAAAAATGATACCAATTATAAAAAGTCTGGGAGAACAATAGAAAAGCAAATAAACAGGAAGCATACTGCCACCCCACTGCTTTGAAAATAAAACTCCCCTCCGTGCCCCACCCCCAACCATCTGGGGGAAACAATTCGTGGACAATAGGAGTCAAATACTTGGAGATGTCCAGACGCAGCTAAAATAAGCATTCCCAGTGAGTAGGTTTTGCATAGGGAGAAGGTAAAAGGGCAGAAAACTGTGTTTTCATTTAAAACTGGAGAGAAGACACACAGCCAAAGTCATAAATCAAACAACGGAAACATTCTCTTTTGTTTTACAGGATAGTTGCATAGCTAGATGGCTCGTAGCAATTTTCTACAACAGAGAAACTATGCTCCCATTGGCTTCCAATCAAATTTAGAGATACATTCCCTTAGGGAAAAAAGAATTTCCCGGGAGACCACTGAAATTATTTGGTTGAAATGCTAGCCTTTCTGTCATATACCTGGCAGGGATACACCTACCTCACAAAGACCACAGATCTTTCAGAACCACAAAATTATGCCTACCCCCCAAATCCAGTACCCCCTAATTCCACCCTTGTTCTTACTAGTGTATCTATTTTATGATCCCTACATATCACCTCTTTATTTCCTACATACTTAAAAGAGATCATTGATCTGGGTGAGAATATCACTTCTGACACCTGATTCTCCAAATTTTCTAAATCTTAGGCGTAATATTTTGTAAGACAGGCTGATTCTTTAGTTTCATTTTATAGATGCTTACTATGGTCGCATACAATTCCACTGAGTTGAATTCCTTGAAAATGTGATGGAAAACTTAGTGTTCCCCCCACTCCTTCCCCCCAAATGCGCATCCCTCCCCCTTATCAGAACTCAAAAAGAAGACATCAGAATTTGCCAGGGAACACAGTCTAGAGTAGTAGTTTGCAAACTGTGCTCTGCTGAGCTCTAGAGAATTCCAAGGGGTGTCTCAGCCCAGTGGGTGAGTGCCACAAGGGGAGACCCAGCAGCCTGGGCACCAGACACCCCCGTGGCTCTCTTCCTCCCTTCAATGGAGAAGCTACACTTTTACCAGTTCTTAAAAATTAGACTTTCATATGTAAACAGAAGCCAAGAACACTTCCTGCAATGTCTTGGCGGTCACAGCGATGACAGTTAACTGCAGAGTAACTAATTCGGGGGCAGATGCTTGTGTGGGCCTATTCAATGAATATTTTTTATGGGGGAGAGGGAACAGTGATATTGAATTGCCTTCTCCCAAGGAACGGATATATATGCATTTTTATGGATAAATGATTTTGAGACCACTGCTCTGTACCCAGGGACGTTTATCATATAGCTATTCTAAACCAAGTGGTTTAGTAAAGTCCTCCCATCTAAAAAAAAAAAATCAGACTCTCAGACAAGACTTCTTTCAGTAAGTTAAGCTTTGAGAAATGAAAGAGAAAAGAAACAAGCCACCTCCCAAGTTACTGAGTGCTGTCTTACCAATGGAGGCTGTGTAGGGCTCCTGCATGGAATGCTGGCTGGGCAGGGCCATCTTGGTGGCAGAAGGATAGGGCCCATAGCCCTGAAAGAAGGTGCCGAATGCAACGGCAAAGCATAACACAACAACCTGCAGGACGAGGAGAGAAAGTGGAGAGCCGTCAATTCCGAGATCCACAGAGCAAACCTTTACACCTGCAACACCTGGGAGGTCCAGAAAGACAACTCCCCTCCATCAGGCCAGCAGATTGTACGCAGTCAATCACCGTCACATCATAGTGGAGAGACAGCCTCAGAGTGAGCTGTGTGGTCCCTCGAACACCCCAGCACTTGGACGTGGCAAGTTGGGGAGAGACTGGAGATTGGGGAGTGGGCCTGGGCAGTAATGGTGTTGTCCCTTCAGGAAACTCACCATGAGGCAGGTGCCAGTCTGCGTGCCAGCCAGCTTGCAGGTGCGAGAAACCTTGCCCATCACCAAAGTCTGAAGCTTCTGCAGCTGCTGCAGGAGAGTTCTGCAAACACAACAAATCAAAGCCATGAAGGGCGTCTGAGAGACAAGAGAATGCTTGTGGGTGATCTCTGCCCCAGGCTCCAGGGAAGTGGCTATGGCTTTGTGTCTGAATTTGAACACAGTACCGAGAAAAAGGTTCCCCTGGTGAAGACACATACGCCACTGTCTTCCAGCACCAGAGTCATAGAGCTTACGGGGCTCAGGATCCGCCCACGTGAGCAGCTTGTCCATTCTGTGCTGTTCTGAGTAACAGTCATCTCTATGCCCCAAATCATCCCTGATAATCCCGGGATTTGTTTGTCAGCCATTGAGAAAAAAAATAAGTAAAAATTGGCTGGTGATGGCGAACCAAGGAGAATTCGTTCAACCAAGAGAAGAGAAACATTGAAGAAGATACAAGAAAGGAGAAAAGCATGAAGAAGAAGATGCCGGGCAGAGAACACGTGGAGGGGTGGCCAGAGGAGATGGCTGTGAGAGGAAGTGGTAGCAACATCTCTGAGCAGCCAGTGCTCAGATGGTAGATCTGAAGAGAGGGAGAGAGACGGAGAGGAAGACAAGAATGGCGGGGAGGCAAACAGCCACGAGCATCTCAAGCCTGTGGCACTTGAAGGCTCACAGCACCTCCATAGGCAGAAATGAAGCCCAAATATGAATCAGGAGCAAAGAAGCCTGCTCAGCTGGACACACCTTCAGAGCCAGGATCTTGGAAGCCGTCCTCTGATGCAGACTCTGATGTTTCTCCAGGAAAATACACAGAACAGGAGCAAAAGAGAGTTGTTCTATCCCTAAAAGTGGACAGCTGTGCACACCCGTGCAAGGGAAGGGTTTGAGGATGAGAATAGTATGTTCTGCTCTGTGTGACATCAGGTCACAGGAGGAGCAGATGGTGAATTTCTTTGCAAATTCTGAACAGTGCAGCCATAGAAAAGGATCTCACAGCACACACGCCTGAATTGGAGCCTCAGGGATGAATTCTGCGTGAGCAGCGAAAAGAGCAGAGACTGCCCCTCGCCCCCATCCCTCCTCTGCAAGCCCAATGCACTCGGCAAGGCGGAGAGGTTTTACAAGCAGATGCTTTTTTCTTGGGTCTCAAAGATTTTCAGAAAATTCATGCTGTGATGGAACATTAGAAAGTCAGACAAGTTCACTGAAAAACAGTGAAAAGCAAATCACTCATTTGCAGAAGAATTCTGGGCTTTGGCAGATAAATTGCCTCCACCACAGCCCATCTCCTGAACAGCTTCCCAGTGCTGGAAGGACATGTAGGTTTTCCCAAGTTTGCAGCTTCCCCTGTGACCAGTACCAGGGAAACAAGTTCTCTCAGGTTTAAGCCAACTAAGGACAGGTTGGCAGTAAGACTATTGCTTTTAGCAGTTCAATGGATAAGAGCAGAGGCAGAATTGGAGCCCACAGCACGTACAGCGAAGGCTCCCTGAACTCAGTGACCCCATGTGGTCCCATCTACACTGTATTTTTACCTTGTACAGTGGTTTTAATTTAAGCAAAACAAAATCATTCATCCCATTATTTCATATCGTTAAATTCTATTAATATGGAGGTCTTTTTAGTACTTAGCTATATGTTTTCTTGCTTTATGGTTATCTAGAAGCATAATCACAAGTAGTATAGACTGGTTTATGTTTCTGTACATTCAAGCAACACGTTCTTTAAAAGAGTTTTGTGAGTTACTCAAGGCTGAGAAATACCGATAGCATGATTGCTATAAATTCTACTTTAGGAAATTGTGTCGTTTGTGACAACATGGAGCAACCTGGAGGGCATCATGCGAAGTGATATAAGCCAGACAAAGAAAGATAAATACCACGTGGTGTCACTGACACATGGAATCTTTAAAAAAAAAAAAAGTTGAACTCATAGAAATAGTAGACAAGCGGTTGCTAGGAGCTGGGGGTGGGGAAATAGGGAGAGGTTGGTAAAAGGGTGCAAACTTTCAGCTATAAGATGAATAAGGTCTGAGGATCTAGTGTAAAATATGGTGACTCTAGGTGATAAAACTGTACCATATAATTGAAATTTGCTAAGAGCGTAGAACTTAAATGTGTTTACCAAAAAATAAAAATAAGGTAAATAGGTCATTAACTTGATGTGAAGAATCCTTTCACAACGTATACATGTATCAAATCATCACGTTGCACACTTTAAATATCTCACAATTTTACTTGTTGATTACACCTCAGTAAAGATGGAAAAAAATCAGAAGTTTGCAGTTAAATGACCGTATAATGCAGCAAGTGTTTTTCCCCATCACACTTTCTTCTCCCAGGACCTCCCAAGAGCACCCCATTCTTACTGGCTTGCACGGCTGCCTTTTCAAAGCTAAGAGCTGAGTGACAGACCCACTTCCTGGGTGAGCGTTCCTTCTGGCAGAGCTGAGATCTAGTGGGCAGTGGCACACATTTTATTGACAACATCCTGTAATGCCAGCCCCAAAGCCCTCTTTGGGTTCTCCCTGCTGTATTTCTGGAACTCGTGGGGAAGATACACAGGTGAGCCATAGATAAGACCTACGCTTGACCGTGTGGCACAAACCTTTTCTCTCATATTCTGGCCTCCTCCTGTGGTGCCAATCAATAGGGTCTTTGTTACCAGCTAAACTACAGAAAGGGGCCTCACTGTTTCCTTGGTGGCCTGCTGAAGAGCCATGTCTGTAATGCTGGCTGCCACTTCTGATGGGCACCTCAACTCCCATGGGGCACCCTGCTGCCTGCGCTGGCAGCTCCATTAGGTGTTGAAGCTCAGCTGTGCTCTGTGCATGGAAGAGTTGGTGGAGGACATTCCTCTAACCAGGCTTCCATTAGACAGCAGATTTCCAGATGTTACCACAGCCATTTACTTTTGCTCCAAACTCTTAAGGTGTTTTTAAAGCGAAATCGCCATTTCCATTTTTACCAACAGTCCCCATTTACCCACAACCTTCCTGCACCTCCTCCCTGCCCAATCCCTGCCCTTTGTCCAGTCTTCAGAGCATGAACCACTGAGAAAACCAATTCCACACAATACTCGGAATCACTCCTCCCTTCCAATTTCCGATTGTGATCACGAGGCCTGGGACCCCTTCCCTAGGATGAACAGTCTCCCAGGAGGCTCCACAGTCTGTTCTGAAGACAGACCTCTGACAGGCCAGACACACCTAAACCCCAATGGTATAATGCCTTAGGCTCAAGTTGGGAACCCCAGCTATAGGTGTAAAGTGCTATCAGTTTGGAAGAAGGACCATCTAAGTCTGGCTGGGCGAGCAGTAAGGGCTGTATCTTTACTAGTTGTGTGGCGCTTTACTTGGCATTCATCAGCACATCCTTTCCAAACTCAAAGACAATTATATTCTGAATCCACTGCAAATGAAAATGTTTGTTTAATGGCCCCTGATTTCTAACAGTTTATAATCCAACTCTTTAAGATGAGCAAACATGTAGTTCAAAATAGATTTTTCAGTTTGAAATTTTGGTGGAAAGCAACAGTGATTTATAATGCGCTGTTTCCTGCTGCTTCTCCTACTCGGATTAGCAAAGGTGAACTCGTGGGAATGATGACACTCTGAAGGCCCCATCCATCAGCAACAGAGAGATTTCACCCAAGGAAAGCAGGTTAACTCATCCATTCCCCAATATCTAAATAGATTTCCATGATGTGATAAAGTTTGGGAAATTCATAGACATTCATAAAACAGAAACATTCTTTTTCTCTTTTTTTTTTTTTTTGCGGTACGCGGGCCTCTCACTGTTGTGGCCTCTCCCGTTGCGGAGCACAGGCTTGGGACGCGCAGGCTCAGGGGCCATGGCTCACGGGCCCAGCCACTCCGAGGCATGTGGGATCTTCCCGGACCGAGGCACGAACCCGTGGTCCCCTGCATCGGCAGGCGGACTCTCAACCATTGCGCCACCAGGGAAGTCCTGAAACACTCATTTTTGTCATAAGGAAAGAAAATTATTAGTGATTGAGTGTCCACTGGCTGAGTTCTAGAACTTCATATACTGAGATACTATGTAAAGGCTTCAAAGACATGTAACCAGTAACTAGAAGACCTAAGATGTAAACCCAAACCTATCTGACTCCATAGCTCACGTACTTTCCAATTCAGCACACCATGGTACCCAAACCTATAACCTAATAAAATTAATGATCAAAAGATTTCTTAGTTAAGTAGATTTTTCTTAAATCCAGTGACATTAACATCTTAATGAGGGAATTCCCTGGTGGTCCAGTGGTTAGGACTCAGTGCTTTCACTGCCGAGGCCCGGGTTTGATCCCTGGTCAGGGAACTAAGATCCTGCAAGCCGCACAGTGCAGCCAAAAAAAAAAAGCATCACATTGACAACTGTACAACCAAGAGATGTGTCCACCATTAAATAAGAAAAGATTACAGTGACCAAACTGCAGACAGTGACCAAACTGCAGACAGAAGGGCCACAGTGAATCTGATGGCAGTGAGATATATACTAACAAAGTTTCAGTGATCTGATACAAATAAAAGCAATAGGGTAAAATAAACATTTCCTGGCAGATCTCTGGATATACCAAGATAAAATGCAAATGATGGATAAAGGAATAAGAGGTATTCCTTAGCCCACGTCAAGTGTCAGGAAGTCAAACCTGAGCTTTGTTTAGGAAAATGGAAGCTATAAGACCTGTCCCTCCACTGGACACCAACAGAGCTGATGAGATGGCTTTAGGATCACTAAGTCAGTAATATTCACCAGAACACGGCGATAAGCTCCCAGGAAGAGAAACCTGAATTTAGATCTCAGTGCCATGGTTTTTAATCACTTTCCTTAAGTCCTGAGTTCAGGCACTTAGTCAAAGTTAATTCTCTTGACCTCACCAGCTAACAGAATAATGAGAGAATCCGCTTCTGGGGTACTCTGGGTTTGCTGAAACAAATACACCTTTGCAGAGTGCTTGCTATTTCTTTCCACTGATGACAGATGAGTCTCCTTACAGGAAAGCCTGGAATCTCACAACTGATATGTTGGTCTGAGATGA